ACAGGGTGCCTCTTGGCCCTGAAACATAAAGTAATAAGCATGAAAACAGGAGATTTCAAACATTCTTTCCAGCAGCTGTCTGTCATTCATCTTGACAACTAAAGCCAAATTCATAGTCTCCGTGTCTGCGGGGATCAACGTCTTCATCTGCCAATGTCATGACCCCTATGTGGACGTCCGCACCCAGCCCAAAATTTGTGACACACGGACTGCACAAACGATCAATAGAAAGACAGAGAAAAAAAAAGTTATATCTTCAGAAAACCTTTAGAGGACACCCCAACGGTTCAGTACTGGCCTGGACAGAGTAGAATTCAGTGGAGTTGACCTTTCCCTATGTTGTCCCTATGTACGCTGTTACTAATATTTTGACCCACAATAGGAAGTAGGAAGGCAGTTTAGAGAATATGAGGAAGACAGCAGGGGTTACATGTCATTCCACACCAACAGACATTCACAGCATATGCCAAGGTCGCAAACAGGAAGTTCTTTACTGTCACTGTATGGACAGTTACATGCAAGTGGCTTAGCTAAAGAAAAAGCCATTTGCTGTGTTCAGTAGTGGTAGAAAAATCTTCTTCTGAGTGTGACCTTGGTTAGTTGTACACTAGTTGGTATTACACTGACCGACACTATACAAGTTACTGTATAAAGCCATTTTTTTATACTGAATGTGAGATGTGAAGATCTGAGAGTCTGTCAGGTTTTTTCTATTTTTTTACAATTTTTTTTATTTCTTTATAGCTTTACTGTTCACCACAGTATATTATATTACGTATATTAGTTGGGAGGTAGATGGAAACTTGACAATATCACTAAAATAGTCAAATTTAGTTAAATTAGTTAAACCAGTCAACAAAGAACACGTTGCTTCTCTCTTTCCTCCTATCAGAGGTGCCTCTCCTAAAGTTACTGTGTCGTTGTACATCAGTTATTAACTCTTACCTAGAGAAGCCTATACTGTATATGCACCTGTTAAGGTGTCTATTTTGACTGCAGTACAGCCAGACAAAATGAACTGTGATCTCCTATATGCATACAGAAATATTATAATGATTGAATATTGAATATTAGAAATATATTTAAGTAAGCTAAGTTTGCTTTAAAGGTTCAGTGTGTAAGATTTAGTGGCATCTAGTGGTGAGGGTTGTGAATTGCCACCATCTGTCCAGTCTACCACTGCCCCCTACCCTTTCAAAGAGAGAAGGACAGCTACGGTGGCTGACACAGCACAGAAGGTGTCTCTTCTGAGACAGCAGAGAGTGGCCAGTCAAGAAATGAGGTTTCTTTAGGTAGATATATTAAGAAATTACATTTACTTAATTATTCAGTAAAACCATATGTTATTGTGACTTGGCCACTGACAGAGAACATGGAAAATGTGAGCCAAGAGTGTGAAACACTGTCACTGTTTCTGCACCACAGTCCATTATAAACCACATTAAACAAAGTTTATACAAACATTGACAAGGGAAATACATTCATTCTCTCTGTGATTATGGACCATTGCCAAAACTGCCCGCCAGCAGTAATATCTGGCCTGCTGCCAGATTATGGTGCTTTGATAGCGGCAAAAAATATAAATAAATAAATAGTATGATAGCGGTACTAAAATAGATATATACATAATCACTTCCTAATTAGTGGTTTTGCCTACAAAATAAAAGTGCGAGAAGCTTTTTTTACTGCAATGCTGTGTTTGGAGTTGAACTGAGCTTTTACTTTGAAACATTCCGAACAACATTAAAAGAGTCTGTAGCTGCTTGACACGCCTCTGAAAGAGCTGTCAGAAAACGTGATTCCCCTAAATGTACTCTGCCTGGAGATACTGGAGAATTGCGAAAGCGTCCATAGGTTGATGGATGCGGATCAAACAGCGAACAAAAACAGTGCAGCACATGCCGTGATCTGAGGAACATTCGCTGCAGAATCCATTTATGGAGTAGAGAAAAAAAAATTGGCTTGAGGTGGGATCAAGCACTCAACCATAGGGTTGTAAGTCCTACACTTAACTGAGTTACACCAACTGAGCTAACCAAACAACATACTGATACAAGTCAGTATTTTGGCTTATATTCTCATGCACCATCTAATGGTTGAAAATATTGCTCCGATGCAAAACTTATTTGCAGACCCCTGCAGTATATTATTTCTACTTTTCTTCTTCTAATGTACGAAAAGGCCCTAAAGGGTGTGAGACAGTATAAAGTTATGACATTTCAGGTCTGGACCATACCCTGTAATATTATTTACAGAGACACGTAAAAAAACACAGAAACTCGTTAGTTGTATAATGGAGTGTCCAGGGAAATACTGTACATAACTGTAACATTTAGCAGACACTTGTGGTCTTCAAACAATGCTAATTATTTTGAATTAGCATGAACTAGTACCAGTGGCGTCCAAACTTTTTCTGCCATGCCAAAACTATCTTTGGCCTCAACATGTTGTAAATCACACATTACATTGTTCCAGTCATTTAAGTGAAGCATCACATCTCATTCTAACCTAATATATAGTCTTTGTTGGCTGCAAAGGTATAAAGGCATTGTCCTGTAAAGTCTCTGCTGCTATTTGAGTGAAACTTCATCCGTCATGTTCATAAACTAAGACAACAATGAACTATTTTAGATATCACAGCATTGTGTGTTTCTTGCATAAATTAATTGATGCCAAAGCCACTCGCCACACAAAGGCCTACACTGTATTACTCGTAAGTTGTGTTCAAGCAGCGCAACTTATATAATGGCTAAATTTGATTCTCTGTAAATCATGGATGATCAACAATAAAATATTTCCCAGAATACTAAAGTCCCTATGGAAATATCACAGGACTGTTAAAGAAATACTAATTGTGATACTATACACATTATGTCCTTATCCTTAATATTACAACAATACCATAAAGACAGTAGAAGTGATAGAAATTAGAGTTTTTATAGAAATATTGATGAGATACAGGATGGATACTTCATATTTTCCCCCTATGGAATATTATAGAGATCCTACATAGACTAAAAACATCATAGTAGTCACACTAGACACATTCAAGTCCATAAACAAAAATGATATCATTATTCACCACAGAAATATTTCAAAACTTTCAAAATATTAATGCCTCAGAAACACTTTATTCCCTACAGAAATATCAAGCAGACAAACTATAGATATCAATCAATATAAAACTATCCTAGGATTGAAACAAGAAATGGCCTGAATTTAAAACAGAAAGCCTTCAACAAAAGAGCTGGCCAAGAGGCTTGTGTCTGGGCAGAGGCAGGTTTATAAACTGTGTGATTGGGACCCGGGTATTCTAACTTTGGACAGGTTTGGACAGACATGAACATATGCTCCTCAATACAGCTCCTCAATCAAACAGGATTTTAAATACGCCTAGTAAAAAAAAATTGAAAATCAATATGTGGCGGTCAGCGTAATAATCCAAATTATAGGCTAATTCTGGGAAATACTGCTTTCATACATTTCATACAAAGCATACAGACCTATAGACCTAACGTTTCTTAATGCCACCGGCTGAAATAAAAAATAACAGCTGTGGAAAGAACGCCTCTCTCCCTCATTCTCCTTTCTTCCTTTAGTTTTCAGCGGACATGAACAACAAAGTCCGGTGCCGCTGAGCTGCCGCACAGTCGTGGATTCACGTCAAGGATGGTGCGTTCAATAACAAGTAACTAGTGTTTTAGAAAAATTTGTTACACTACTAGTTACTGAGAAAAGTAATATTATTAGAGCAACACGTTACTGAGTGATGCGTTACTGCCCAACACTGATCTTGAAGCAGCAACCAGGATCAGATATACCTTGCTTTGTGAGCCTTTTTAGGATCAAACTGCCCTCTCTATCCTCATATAAAATTTCTGACATCAGTTAGTATAGTTCATTCATACATTTGGACTTTTGGTCAGACAAAACCAGTCCCTATTAGGGCTCTTTTTGATATGTTGTCTGTGAAGGTTCATCCAGGTCATAGTTATCCTGGGGAGATTAAATCAAGAGCAACTGGACTTGGTTAAAGATACTTGAAGATGTTTCATTTCTCATCCAAGAGATTTATTCAGTTCTCTGGATTCTGATATACTAAATACTAAATGATTAATTGATCATGCTACAGTCCTAAATCTAATAATACTTCAATTGAGCTAGTCCACATTATGGATTGCAACTAATGATTATTTTCATTATGAAGGTTTTATTTCTTAAATAATTTAATTACTCTATAAAATGTCAGTCAGTCAGTTGTATAAACAGGATGCTATTTACAAGGATTTGAAAAAGACAAGCAGCAAATCCTATTTGAGAAGCTGGGACCAACAATTGGGATTTTTGCTTGGTAAATTACTTGAACAACTTGAACAACAGTTTCATGATCAATCAACTAATCAATTAATCCGCTTATAATTTTAGGTCTACCTGGAACAACATGACCTGCCGAATACTGTCCTAAACTGCAGTGGTTAGTGCGATCCACCAATATTAAAATGTGACATTAAACATCAGGAGAAAGAGAAAAAGGGTGATGCTACCAAACATGATGTATGCCTGAACAGATGTGACCTGGTGACAGTGAGGTTTTGTGGTTTGCATCTTTGGGCCACTTATATGCCCCTGGGATGTCCTAAAGAAATATATTTTGTTGTCTTTTTTTTCAATTAATGGAATGAATAGATTGTTTAGTCTATAAAAAAACAGGACAAAATATTCCCTAAGCTTTTTCTCAGATTGCAAAGTAACATCTTCAGACATTGGGTTTCGCCCAACCAACAGCCCAAAAGATGCTTAATTTACAATGGGACAAAATCTGAGACTATTTCATTTGAGAGGCTGGAACCGTGGCTGGATTAGTTTGGTGATGACTGACATAATTAATTAATCTGAATTAATCAGAAAAATATTGAAATAGTGGCCGAATCTCTTAAATGTGTAGTCCAAACCTAGTCCAAGTCTATATGACTGATCTTTGTTGTCTCTCTCTTTTTCAGGTGCCATGTGTTCCTATGAAATACTGACCTAACAGGAACCAAGAGGAAGAGAGGAAGTGGAAAAGAAGGGTAAAACTAACCAGGAGTTCTCAGGAGAGAAGGACGAAAGAGCATGTTGAATTTCTTAAGCTAAAGGAGGGACAATGAGACTTACCTGTAGATGCTTGCAATCTGATCAATATGAGGGAGTGTAGATTTTGCTACACACAGAGGAAGATCTGTAATGGAGCGTCCAGACTGCTGAAATACCTGTCAAAAGCCTGGTGGACTTGACATCAAAAAGTGAAACCTGGTAGGGCAGGGGGAGGAGGGAAAAAGGATATGTTTGAGGCAAAACAGACAATAGACGATAAAGCAAAGGAGATGATAAGGAAGGCAATTAAATGAAAGGAGTCCTAGAAACAGGAGGATAGATTTGAGAGTCAATTGAGAAGTAAAGCTTAAGAGTTAAAGGAGGCAGAGATAAAAATAAACACTACTATCAGAAAAAGAAGAGAAAGGTAAGACAAAGGAAGAGACTGACCCAAGAGAGTAGAAGTCTAGATTGTTCCACAGGATACGTGTCAGTGTTTAGAGATCTGCCGAAAGAAGCTGTAGTCGTGATGTTCATAAACTTCCGTCGTATTCGCAAGTGCCAGTGTGTGCAGCTGCTGACCACAGGCCTGGTGCTGTGTGTGGTGATGGTCTGCTGGGAGGAGCTGGACCACCACGTGGTCAGCCACATGAAATCGTACACGTACCGCTACCTGGTCAACAGCTACACGTTTCTCAATTCCTCATTCGCCATGACCAACAACCATCACCACAGAAAGGATGGTGGGTTAGTGAACTATCCATACCTGATCAACCATCCAGGAAAATGTGGCGGTGAAGATGGGAAAAGCTGGGACGATGTCCTCCTGCTTCTGTTTGTGAAGTCATCGCCAGAGAACTTTGAGCGACGCCAGGCCATCAGGGATACATGGGGGAACCAGAGTTTCGTGTGGTCAGAACTGGGGGCGAGTGTGAGGATGGTGTTTGCACTCGGCGTGCACCCAGATGATGAGCGGAGATCAAGGGTGCAGAGCAAGCTGCTGCAAGAGGACCAGGCCTACGGAGACCTGATCCAACAGAACTTTTTCGACACCTTCCACAACTTGACTACCAAACTGATTCTGCAGTTCCACTGGGGCCACAAGTACTGCCCTCAGGCACGCTTCCTCATGTCCGCGGATGATGACATCTTCGTCCACATGCCCAATTTGGTGAAATACCTGCGGCAGCTCCTGAGTGGACAATCACGGGGCAAAGGCCTGTGGGTGGGTCATGTACACAGAGGATCCCCACCGATTCGCCGTAAACAAAGCAAATACCACGTTCCATATGATCTGTACCCGTGGCCTTCTTACCCAGATTACACTTCTGGAGCGGGTTATGTGGTTTCAGGTGATGTGGTCGCTAAGATCTACCATGCTACTCTGGTGCTGAACTCCTCCATGTACATCGACGATGTCTTCATGGGAATTTGTGCCAAGGCCATGGGCGTCTCTCCCCAGGAGCATGTGTACTTTTCAGGGGAGGGCAAGGCTCCCTACCACCCCTGCATCTATGATTACATGATCACATCGCACGGCCACTCCACAGATGTGCGCTCACTATGGCAGGCAGCAATAAACCCTACAGTGCACAGCAACTCCAGAGGATTCATGGGTAATTTGTACTGCACAACAGTGAGAGTGATGTTGCTGTGTCTGCCATATTACCAGAACACATACTCGTGTATGGCTGCGTTTACATAAATGGTCTTGAGGTGATGCATGCTGCTCCATGCTAAATGTACCACACAAACAAATGACATTTCCTCCTAGTCTGCCATTTTCTTCCTTTCATGTTATGTGTTTGTTTGCTGGTTATACTATGTATTTGCTATATTGTAATAAATATCAAAGCTGTTGAAATGCTCTCAGTTTTTCACCATCAGCAGGATCTGTTTTCACTTTGTCTATAGAGAGTTCAGTTTTTTAAAGTATGAGGTATTTATTAATAGTCAGTGTATTACCTGCACACGATGGTAGTTGGCATTTCCCCAATTTGAGGAACCAGAGAGTTGTACTGGCACAGAAGCAAATCTACGAATTGCTGTAGACAGGACAGCAGCAAAAGAATTTTAGCCTGCAGAAACGTAAAACTTCCCTATTCCTTTGCATAAGCGGAACGTGGACAGTTACACCACCGGCAACTCAGACAAAACTGAAGTTATGGTACTACCATAAGGAATCTCAGAGTTATCTTTGATCAGGATATGTCAGCATAATTCCCACATAAAACAAACTTCAACGACCGCTGTTTTTCATATATGTAACATTGCAAAAATCAGGCACATCAATTCCTTATTATCAGGCTATCTGGATAAATACTATACTGACAAGAACTAGGAAAAGAGATTACATTTCTCCTGTTTTAGCTTCTCTGTACTGGTTCCCTGTAAAATCCAGACTAGAATTTAAAATCCTGCTACTCACTTCCATCATATCTTACTACCCCACCAGAGCACTGCACTCCCAGAATGCAGGGTTACTTGTGGTTCCTAGAGTCTCCAAAAGTAGACTAGGAGCCAGAGCGTTCAGCTATCAAGCTCCTCTCCTGTGGAACCAGGTTCCAGTTTGGGTTCAGGAGGCAGACACCATCTCCACATTTAAGAGTAGGCTTAAGACTTTATTCTTGATAAAACGTAAAGTTGGGGTTGGCTCACACTGCAAAAACTGAGCTCTCAAAAACAAGAAAAAAGAATTAAAATGGGGGAAATATTACTTAAAATAAGAAAAATGATCTGCCAACAGAACAAGATTATTTCACTTGCTACTTAAGACCAAAGAAACTTGAAACAAGTGAAATTCTCTAACATAAAATCCGCCTGGTAAGAAGAAATATCTTGTCTGACAAATATATTTTGCCTTCAATTAAGATAATTAATCTTATTAAGATTTTAGTTTTTGCAGTGAGGTGAGTCCTGAACCAGACCATGGGAGCAAAGATTCTTTTGACACTAAGCCAAGGAGTTTCAGAGCTATTTTAAAAACTTAAACTTCAGTGCCATGATGACGTCACTGTCGGTTTTTTGTGCCTTAGTAGTGGGTGGAATTTGCAACCTACCTGCCAGTTTTTATGTTTCTAAGTTTTTTAGCAGAGAAAAAATAAGAAATGTTCATGGGGTCCAAGTACAAAAGGAAAACTTGGACTTACTATGACCTCAATGAGCAATTCATAGTTTTCACGTGATGTCACGTTCCAAAGAAAACACTCCCTTGGAGGACAAAAAAGACTTTCTGCTGCCCGCCAACCAGGAAGCAAGTGATACACTTACTTTGAGTTTGTTACTTCTGCGTTGCCAAAATGCGGGATAGTCGACGAGGAGACAAGCCTGAGCTGTGTTAGGTGAGGGATTCCCTAGTAATCATAAAGTTACCACAGTCGAGCCCTTGCAGGGCGGTTTTTAATGGCGGAAATATGGTGCTGTATATGGATTGCAAGTGCCCAACACTTGCAGTTTGTGTCCATATCTATCTTTTTCTTGAGTTGAGAGGTGATCCAAATAAAATCTCTACGAGGGAGTCTGGTGTGAGCCGCTATCTTGGTCTGTTGTTTGCCCTCCAGATACCGAGCATGTCACGTGACTGAAAACTATGAACTGAAAACACACCAAATGAGTGAATTCCAAGTGGAACTTACCTACTTGGGGATTTCATATACCAAGAGCAAGTGACTTCTCACAAGTTAAAGCAATGAAATCACATGTACCAGACTTGGATATTTTGTCAGTTTAAACTTAAAACCCTTAACATAATGTTAGTGATAAAATTCTGAAAAAATTCAGTCATCATTGTGCTGGTTTTGGGTATATTGTCAAATATTTTGGAGTTATTTGATCCATCACTGAGCAAAAATGCGAGTGCATACAGTACAAATCACAGCAAGATATTGAATATCACTGCAGACTCACTATTTGCCCTTTCAAAACACTCAGTATCTGCCATGTAGAGAATGTCTCTATCAATTTTGGTAGCCTTTGAAGAAAAGGCTTGAGGAGACATCTGAATTGACCATAGGTTGCAGTGAGGCAAACTTATGTTAGACATCAGTGGATGTGCTGAAAAAGATTCTGCTGTGAATTGGTGCGTTTTGGTCCGACTGTTTTTGCTGCACCAACAGTTTTAGCGGAGAAAAAGAAGAATGAATAAAGCTTTGCTGCTTGGCCCCCAAATTGTAATCGGAGCAGTTTTAATACCTCCTCAATACTGAGCTGGTAATGGGAGCCATGCTGCCTTGCATGCATGGTCCCCAGGCCCGTTGGGCAAGCCTGCAAGCGGGTATCAACAGAATCTAAGTCTATACTTCTTTTGCTTTGAAAGACAAAGGTTTGTCAGTGTTTCTCGGACCTGATTCAGCCCATCCCTGATATTGTGTTGTTCTCTGTGGCTTTGCAGAACCATGTGACTTGTTTTGTCCTCTCCTCCTGTATTCAACCATGGGGCAAAACGATCTCATCACTACTAAGTCTGATGCTTATCTACCACACCCCGGGGTGGACTGGCAATCTGGCATAATGGGCAAATGACCGGTGGGCCGACGCACCTTTAGGGCTGATGTAACCTGAAAATGATTTATTTGTATAATTATTTAAAAAATGGGCCAACAACCGGCCCATAAGGCATGGACAGCGGCCAATTGATTCATTTTCAAAACTGGCACTGAGCTGGCAAAAAAAAAAAAAAAAACCCTGTTACGGATGGCGCTAAAATAACCAATAGCTTCAACATAGCAGAGTGTAACTTTAGGTGAACGCATGGAGTAGCTTAACAGGGTCCTGTAGAGAGCAGGGAGGGAGGATGTGTGCTATAACAATGATGATAATTACTTCAGTTAAGGTCAATGATAATATTATAATCATAACACTATCATACAGAGAGACCGTCACCTTCTGCAGGTGATCACTCAATGTCCAACTGTCCAACAGCGCAGCATAAGCTATTTGACATTTTTTTTGTTGCTAGCGTAGTTCACTAATGCAGTTGCAGCATCAGCTAACTGTCCTAATGGCTGACTAGGTGATGTTATTTTATCAGCCTGTCGTTGGCAAAGCCCACGCTGCTGTGGGTAACCGAGATCCCTATGTATCATGCGACTGTATAATATGGCCTATCAACAGCTGAAGCATGTTACTAAAATGAATGACAGTTAACAGTCGAAATTAGCGAGAGAATAACAAACCAAAAGACAGAACTGTAGTCTGTCAACTACAACGCAGTATTAGGTCCACTGCTGGAAATTAATACAGTCTGAAGGGATACTACCATAACAGCAGATTAATTATTACTTTATTCACATAATATTACACATTTTTTCAAAGTATTATGACTTTATTCCAGAAATGTCAGAGAATACAGATATCTCACAAAAGTGAGTACACTCCTCACATTTTCGTAAGTATTTGATTATATCTTTTCATGTGACACTTTGCTATAATGTAAAGAAGCGAGCGTACAACTTGTAAATTTGCTGTACCCTCAAAAAACCCCATCACACAGCCATTAATGTCCAAACCGCTGGCAACAAAAGTTAGAACACCCATGTGGCACCTATTCATCCATTGATGTGAATAGGTGCCACGTTCAAAGATTTAAAGTGTGACTTCCACAAACAAAAGACAAAAAAGAGGAGGGAAGACTTAATCATGCCAACATGTGTGTTGACTTAGCAGGGATGATATTAAATGAGCAGAGCTGATCTACAGGAGAAACAGAACTGAAAGCAATAAAGAATGCCTGAGAGCTGCACTGCATTTTATGAATTATATTTTTAGATTTTGAATTGTCAACTATTGCCTGAATTCTGTGTTTCCTTTTATACAAATAAAGACATTTTCACCATAAATTGATACAGAAAAGGCAGATATTGGCGCAGAACAATTCACCAGAATGCTGGAAATGTTCAAGGAGGAGGACCTTGACCTCCTGCATAACATGTGCCCCCTCCAATGTTTAAACAAAACCTACACCCTTCATTTCGGGATTTTATACTATATTATACTGTAGTTCAGCACTGCTGTGTAGTATCACTTCATCTCTGGTTTACGGACTCAACTACGGCCACAGTGGTGTTTTTTGTCCTTACCTGCGTCTGTTGGACAGACTCTCCTCTGTCTCATTGGTCACAACAACATGGGTGGAGCCTCCTTGGCTTTCCTCATGCATCACCTCAATCTGTGACACACAAACACACACATTTGGCAGGGTCTTTGTATAGTAGTTACCACTGCAACATTAAAGAAACGATTGCAGCTATATTTAAAGCGCTAGTGTAGCCTACACTGTAACAGCAACGAAAGGGAAATTTACAGGGGAGGTATAGACTGCTGCACACACTTGAGATGCAAAAATCACACATGTCCAGGTGGCTCTATAATTAAAAACAGTGTGTTTTGGCCAGTAACTCTCAGATACCGTAGTAGGTTGCACATTTTAACACCTTGTATGCACGGTTTCCCTGAACTGAGCTGCTCCTCATGATATAGGCCACACCCATTTCCACCTATAATTCTATTCATAAAATGGGTGAAAAACTAGGTCGAACTCCTCCTAGGCAGTGAGTCAGATCTACATAAAACTTTCAACATATATATTCTATTTTGACCAACATAACTCATGATCAAAAGTTATTACAATAATTTTGATACTCCAGACAATGAGAACTTTATAATGGAAAATCTTGTTCCAGACTTGTACTCACATCTCCACATAGGTTTTTCTAATTAACACAAACTTTGAGCCAGTACATACGTGTGCCAACTGAGGCTTTGCACAAAATTAGGCACCAATTGGCAGCTAGGGGGGCTTTTTGTTGCAAAGTCATGATATACGCAAAAAGACGTCCACATACGGAGGAGGTTCTGGTGAATGAGTGTGTCAAATACAGGATGTTCTCACAGATGACTGGGGTTTGTGTCAGGTGAAGTCAAAAGTCAGGGTTTTCAAAAAGAATATTTTCAATTGTCAACAAAAGCTGCTCAACGTCTGTGTTCTAAAGCAACATAAAGTTAGAAATTCTGCATCTCCCTGAAAACTGTGCCAACAATGCCTTGGTCTGAATGAGCGTAATGTGTTAACATTATTTAACATCAGAGTTTTTCCTACATACAGTACACAAAATTGTGAGAAATTACTGAGTGAGTGAGGAACGAAATCAGGATGACCTGATAATTAATTAATCGTTAATAAGTAATTAGTAAATAACTCAGAATGGAACAGCAGATAATGATGATTTACTACAGAACTGACTGGGAGATACTATATTTTATCACTTTCTTCATAAGTTGTTCCTGTTGTTCAAATATCTCAAATAACTCAAATATCGTATCTCCCAGTCAGTTCTCTAGTAAATCATCATTATCCACTTCTTATCATGGATTCATTAATTATCAAGTCAGTCCTGATTAATGAACATTTCTGCTAGCATCAATGTAAATATGCCAGATTTAGCCAGAAGGCATATAGAGCTGGGTATTGAAATTCTTTACATTTATGATACCAACCAATATACTTTGGTACTATTGAGCATTGAAAAAAGAGAATTTAGTACCACTTATTCATACTTCAGTATTATTTAAGTTTTGTGAATAAGATGCTAATATGATGTCAACTAATAGACTATTTAGCTTAATAAGCCACGCATCTTAAAAATTGGCAAATTTATTAAATGAAATTTATCTGTTTATTCATTTATTTTTTACACAGTAATTAAAAGGAAATGATGAGCAGTGCTTGTAAGAGTAGTACTATCAGTACATTTCTAAAGAGGAGGGGATACCTTGATGCCTCCTTTGGCCTTGCGTACGTTCTTCTTCTTGTTGGGGTCAGCTTCGGCTGGCTTGCTGCCACTGTTAGAGTTGTCAGAAGTTCTGCGAGCCAGAGCTGAAATGAAGTGAGAGGACACAGCATTAGGAACTTTATTCTTTATTTGGATCCCCATTAGCGTCTTCCTGGGGTCCAGATAAAAACAGTTACAATAAAACATCAATTTAAAAACAATCAAAAAGGTTCCAAAAAAACAACATCAATGGGTAGAGTTTTTGTCCCACCCGTCCACCCCATCCCTGTCCTTACTCAAAAATGTTTGTTATTTATATTACTTTTACCATTGAAAATGGTGCTAAAAGGCTTCCCCCCAGTGCTCTGGGGATGTGAACGGGCTGGAGTGGCCTGTAACTACCACCTAGAATAGGCTTACATTATGAAAGGTGAATTTGTAGCCATATTAGCTGACCTGACGATAACCTGCTTCTACTTCAGGCTGGCTTTAGCTATCCATGTTCACGCCATTTGGTCCCAGGTTGCCTGAAAGCATTTGTCAAACCTTGTTCTCTGAATCTCAGTTCTCTTTTTCATCTGCAATCTCATCATTTAAAATGTTTGTCCTCCTGCACAGATTTTCAACGTAGTCCAGCTTGGTAATTGTTCCATCCATTTTCTGCTATGAATTAATTACTTTGTTTTAAAATGACTATTTTTCATTTAGCCTGATCTGTCCCAGATATACCAGGCGTTGATAAATGTTTGGGATGTTGATATCCAGTCGGGCATGTACCTATGTCCTAGTAGGCACAGACGTCCATCAACTTGGACTACAGCCACAATCTTAATTGATGTAATATTGTCCACAGTGTTGAGAGAAAACATGGATCAAAATCAGCTTGATTCAGTGAACAGCAGTTCCAGACAGGATTATATAGATTCTTGTTTGTCTTGTTTAGACATGGCAGATTATCAGAGACACGGCATGAATTGGCTTGAATTCAGCACAACCTCCTGTAAGAGGTTTTGTGGTTTTTCACTTAAATCATTTATTTCTTCAGATCTTGTGTTACATTACACGCATACCGTCTTAACATGCATTCAGATAATTGCTAGAAACACACGCTTGTTACTGTACAAGCAACTCGCTTTTCAAAGGCAGTAAGAATTTGTTTTCCTGCATAAATTATTTCGTTATAATGAAATCCAACTCACGCTGGTGGCTCCCTGTAGTCCTGGGGGGGTTCTTCAGTGATGGCCGTTTTGGAGAGGACTCAGGCCGCGGTGCAACGGGCTGGACGGGCCTCGTCTGTTTAGCCGACAGTCTCTTCAGACTGACGTGTCGCTTCTCAAACATCTCCTGGACATCCTCCAGGCGCTTTAGTGCCTTCAGGACACTGGCCTGCAGGCAGAGAGCTCACTGTCAACCCTCATCATTGTCATTTTTGCAACAGAACATCCAGTCATCCTGTAAATTAACGTTTTGAGCGCCGTACCTTTATATCCTCTGACAAGACAACCTCACACTGGTTGTGGAGGTTCCTTAGTTCAGTCAGTTGGTTCTTCTCTGCCAACTCCAGAAAGCCTTCAATTTCGGTCCGTGCTGACTCTGCCCCCTCCTGTGACTGACACTTATCCACAGCCTGAGAGGCCAGCAGGTAGATGCCGGACTCACACCACTCGTTCACCTGTAAACGGCAGAAATTCAAACAGGTTCAAACTAAGATTTCAACATACCTGACACCATCCCTTCCCATGTGGTGGAGGGCTCTGTGTTTAGTTTGCCACTGGGGTCAATTGGGATCTTGAGTGGCATAGTATCACTAATTCTTCATGCATTTGATGATCACATTACAAGTTTCAACAAAGACTGGGGCTACATATTTAAAGAAAATTCTGGCTTATTACGACTTGAGTCTGAAATATTGATAATAATCCTTCATTACACACTACTACTACTACTACTACTACTACTACTGCTGCTGCTACTGTAAATGTGTAAGTCAAATTGGAACCAGGAAGTAAGTCTGTAAACTGATGGATGTTTACAACAAACTGGGAAATAATTGTACTGTTTTCATTTGTTTTCCCTTCTAACTAAGTTTGGCTAATCTGTTTTTTTTTTTACAAACTGTCTAATAGTCTACCTGAATGTGTTACCCTGTTTGACTTTTTTTTTAGCGATGTCTCCATGAAAACCTGCATGGCCTGCTATTTTCTGATGTTAAACTCAAGATAATGTGCAAGGGCCCCAAGCGACTTTGAGACACATTATTCTAGATGGCACTGCACTGGCTTCCAGCACCACCATAAGGTATGTTAGCATTATCTTTGATCAGGGTATGTCCTTTAACTCCAATATAAAACAAACTTCAAGGACTTTTTTCAACTATATAACATTGCAAAAATCAGGCACATCCTGCCCTCCTTTAAGTCAGCCACCATCATATCGTAAAGTGATTGTACAAACACAGAGCTCCCAGAATGCAGGATTACTCGTGGTTCATAGAATCTCCGAATGAAGAACGGGAGCCAGAGCCTTAAGCTATCAAGATCTCTTATGTGAAATCAGGTCCAAATTTGGGTTTGGGAAGCAGACACCATCTTCAGTGAAGCTGCTGAATCCTCATGCGACCTCATTTGTATTTTCTTTTTAATGTTTACTGCTAATTAACCGCTGTGCTTAAATACAGCCTCTCTTGTTTCAGTACTACAGACTAATTAAGGAGCTGGTCACAAAACACAGACATCATTACATAACAGCATGTCTGAAAAATGAGATAAAAACAGATTGAGCAGCTTCCATTCGTAAGCCAAAGACTGATTCAAGGGTGATCCTAAGTCCAAAGATGTTTTGGATATCTTCATCTACACATGCAAAGACAGATGATCCAAGTGTAGGGAATCTAACATGTTTCTGGATATGATGTCTGTGGATGTCTTTCAGTCTTATCATATCCTCACCTTATCAATGCCCCTGTGTATATTCAGGGATTTGGACAAGACATTTGTCTTTTTCTTGGTCTCGTTGCTGAAGTCATCGCAGACTCGCCGGAGCTCCACACATTTGGGTCGAATCGAGTCCACAGCGTAGTGATTGCTCTGGATCAGCTGGTCACCATGCAGTGCGTGGAGCTGGGCCTTCTCTAGCGCGGGCTGGAAGAAAAACAATTCCGAATATATTATGGCACTTTCATTTGTATAAACAAAATCTTCATGGTGTCCAAAGTCTGCTGTGTCTGTTGAGGTAAATGTACGCAGATGGGTGCTGACTCTGCTTTTATTTGCAAAACTTTACAAAATACCAATTTGAGATTATTGCTTTCTGGTCAAGGTAGGTAATTAAAGAGCCTCTATGAAAAAGCAGTCATGACTGAGTTTGTACAGTACATGTGCCCCCCGCCCTGCATCTCATTAATTAATGTTAATTGAGTATTGATTGAGGAAAAATAAATATATACTGCATTGCTCTCTGTCCCTGGCCCCTTGCGGAATCTGTTTGCCTGTTTGGACTGCCTTCTATGTTTTTGACCCTTGCCTGCCTCACCATCCTGTAAACCTTTGTTCCTCATTGTGCTCCAGTGGCTGTGAACTAATCTGAGGAGGGACAAAGAAGCATCAATCACTTCCAAAGTTAGCATGCTTGTTTAAAACACTTAGTTTGAATGTGATTCAATTAATACATTTTTTGGGGCACCGCTTTCTGTCTGTTTGTCTTTGTAATGACATTCAAATCAGTTACTAATGCTTTAAAGTTCAGGAACGAGCCAATAATGAGTTTGGAGTCCAATAAAATAATAAAGGGTCAAGAGTTTCTCACTTTCTATCCAGCCACCAAATCTGCAGTTATAAATGTTAATAATATATTAAGGAAGGTCATTGATAAAGGACAGTAAACATAAAGCTTGCAGTTATAACCACTTAAAGAAAATTAAAGTAATTAGGGTCATAAGTTTCACGTTTTTCTTTTTTCCAACAGTAGAAGTTCGTAAGTCATTTGCAATTAGACTGGCTAACAAGTCATTAATACATGGTTCTTATAATATATTTAATGCAAGTATGTCGTTATACTTGGATTATAATTGTAAGGTTTTTAATTAATTTTGGTCCATTGAAGGATTTTCCTGATGAACAAAAGAGCTAAACAGATAAAGCCAGTGTGGTGCTGGAGCAGCATCAGCACAAGCCAAAAGGATTGTTTACAGCCAGGCAACCTAAAAGCTGTTCTTATTAATAGATTGTAGGTGATCTATAAGGCAATAACAAAATATTAACAATTAATAAAGCAATTAGTTTTAACTTCTAAGCCCTTCATAAAAGGTGTATTAGAGAGTGGCCCTTGATTTGGTATAAAATATAGTAATGTTGTAGATGTTTGATTTAATAACTGTAGATGAAATGGCCTTAACTAATGGTTTGTGTGTGTGTGTGTGTGTGTGTGTTGACTGACCTGAGCCTTCTCCTCAAGTGTTTTCAGTTCCTTTAGCAGGTGTTCAACTCTGGCCACACAATCCCCGGTATCTGGCAGGCTAGCTAGACTGTCCATCAAACTGTCTAGAGACACTTTGACCTGGAGAACCAAAGAGAGGACAGAGACTGAGCAAAGACAGAGAAAAGCTTTACATTACCCACATCTCCACACTGTAATAATTAATTTCTCATGTCACAACTTAGCTTCACTTCAGAGTGTCTTTAAGTCCAAGAATGTCACCGCTGATTATCTCAAATTATGTCATCTGCACATAACTTTGTCTGTCTGTCATTTAAGTTAATGTGACTTCTTTCTACAAATACTGCATCAATGAAACAAGCATGTTCAGGCAGTCTGTGAATGTTTTCGGTCATCCAGGTCATAGTTATCCAAGGTGGGCTCTGGACTTGGTTGAAAATTCTTGAAGACATTTATATAGTTAATTTCTTATGCATGTCAAATGTTCATCTCAAATGTTTGAAATGTCAAGGACACAGACTCATTTAAACAAAATACAATAAGACACCGGACTTTTTAGAGCATGAGGTGTCAGGCAGGACGGGAAACCAAGTCTTTTTATTACTTCAGTGTTTTCTTAAGTACATTTTTCAAAGTATGTTTTTACAACTGAAGTCTTTTAAACCTGTAAAAAGAGGAGACACAGGTGAGATCCAAAAGTTGCAGGCCAGGCGCAGTCAAGCAGACAGAGACAGACAGATATACCTCTCTGAAGTCCTGTTCAAAGTGGCGTAGCTGCAAGCACTGCTCCAGTTTCAGATGATGTTTACACCAGAACTGTTCAAAGGCGTTCTCTGTCTCATCCAGCTGGGCTAAGAGCCTGAGGAGCCACACGCGCACACACACACACACACACACACACACACACACAGTTACTACAGGACTACATGGCCATACTATAGACTGAGATTTATATAATTTAAAAAAGAAAAGCTTTGACGACTGTCACCTTTCCACAGTGATTTGATTCTCCATCTCGTCAGGGTTGAGTTTGTGATTCTCTGACTTGGGTGTCTGCTCCTTGATACAACCTAACAGGGTGGTGCCCTGTTTTAAAGCTAGCTTCAGTTCATCCTGGTTTAGGGACAAAGAAGCATTGGAAATAACATTATTATCTGCAAAACAGCTGACCAATGTGTATGTGTATGGTCCATTTACACCTATTCCTGAAACGTGCATATGTATCTGGCATCTTAGGTGAATAATTACATCTGTTTACTGGCCCTTTGCTTTTATGCTTGATATATGCAAATTCGGTACGTGGAACTTGTAGACTTGTAAAGAAGGGAAGCTGCGTCACCTTGCAAGACAATGGTCAAATGGCAAATGGAGACCGTCAAAGGCACCTATTCAGCTTGCTAAGAAGGCTAATAATACTTACATTATACTGTCTCCCTTGTTCACACATACAGATTATTTTGGATACCAGGAAATGGAAACATTTTTTGTCTAAAATTTAACTATGTAAAAGTACTAAATGGAGAAAATGCTGATCGTAGCATCAAAGGCTTGCCAATTTCAGTCTCTGTATGAACAGGGGGTAAGAAGGCAATCCTTTCCAGACGAGACACTTGCTAGTACTAGTGCTACCCCAGTTGGTCGCCTGACCCGGGTTGTCCACATTGTAGTAGCCCCTCCAGAGTCTTCCAATGCGATGCTGCTGTACTGTATGGGCTCTACTTATTTTTGCTAGCCTTGCAGAGGCTTTTCTGTAGCTTTATGATTGGCAGCTTGATAGCAGGAAAACATTTCTTTGGGTTTTTTTAATTTTATTTTGTTATACACGGAAGGACATGCAAAAGACATTTTGTATTTATTTCAGTAAATTTTGTTGCGACCTGAGTTGAGGCAGAGGTGCACTGTACTTTGGTCTATCTATTTTTCCACAAACAAACTAAAACACAACCAACAATAGCCAATACATGACCCCCAAGTATTCACAAGGTCACCAAGCTTCTAACACCACCAATTTAATGAGAATTTGCAAATTACTCTTGCTGTGCTACGTTCTGGTGTGACCAGGCAGTAATGTAACTCTCAGTCTTTCAATATGACATGTGTGTATTAATTGTACTAAATCACCTTGAGGTTGTCGTGTTTGTCGGTGTGTGCTGTGAGCAGATCTTTGGTGCACTGTACGTCATTGGGCAGCTCCGTCTCTGCCAGGTCTGTCCCAAACTTCTGTAACATCTGGGCTGTGGTTTTCACTGTCATGGCAAAGTTCTCTATGGCCTAGGGAAAAAGATCCACATGTGACTGCATCCTAGAATGCAAATGACCATACAGCCACTGTATGTAGAAAAAATCCCATATCTATGATTTCTCTACAGCTGCCACATTTTTTAAATTGCCAAATCACTGGTATTACAGGGGCCATGTGTAGTTTTCAGTGGCTTCTAGCGGTGAGGTTTCAGATTGCAACCATTACGTTTCCAAGCGTGTGCCTGGGCTTGCTCAAACTCAGCACTTGACATTGGCCAAAACAGAGACATCAACAAAAGACTACTACACTGCTAGACTGACTGCAATTAGCTGATATGATCCGTCGGGATTGTGTGTCTTTCACCAGAGAGGTTCAGCCATGTCAATATAGCTAAAAGTTTTTGCAGTTAGTGAGTTAGACTGAATATTATAAATTAGATTGTTGCCACACTTTAGTAGAACAGTTAGAACGTTACTGTAACTTACTGGATGGGTCCTCCACTCCATTGTCCTGCACCGTTATGTTGCATTATTGTATATTATGTGGGTCACGTATGTTACGTAGACTGAGACCTGCAAGGAAGCTGTGTACCTGAGTATTAATAAAATGATAAGAAATCTAAATTAAACATGAAGCAAACAATGCCAGATCTAATGTAGCTGTCTGCCCCTGCCTTGCATGACTATAGAGTAGTAGGCTACAAACAAACAATACTTTGACGTAACACCGTACACAGGATAGTAATATAGACTGCTTTCAGACTGTGACTCAGATCTGATCTCTTTATAACAGCGTGAACAGGCCAAGTCACATGGAATCTGATCTTTTCCAATTCAAATTTGTGCCACCTTCATATATGGTCGAAATCCGATGCAGAAAAGCAACCTGAGTCTGGACACTCAGATTGGAATTGATTCAACTTTTATGCTGTAGAAGGAGACGCGACGAATGAAAAGTCTCCACAAAGGCCATTGTTAAACACGTGGCTCTCTTCCTCCTCTGCTTTGCTATCATCTGCTCACAAATTCCCTTTCTTCCACCTGTGATCCACCAGACTGCGAGCTCTCTTCTGAGTCACGTGCATGCTACTTATCCATGCCGACACGGTGGAGAGAGAGAGAGAGGGAGTTGTGTGGTAGATGTGTTGTACAGCACCAGAGACTGTAAACTGTAGGTGCTAAGCACGACAACCCTATATTCTAACTTTGGACAGGTTTGTGCAGCGGTGTTCATGAGAGAAAGAGAGGGAGAAAGCGAAAGGAGATGCTGCACAAACATACACTCCTCAATATAGCTCCTCCTAGAAAATCAATATGTGGCGGTCAGCGTTGATAATTATTCCATACATTGTTTTATTTGTGGCGGCCCACAAATAAATCAATGTATGGGAAACACTGCTTTCACTACCACCCTGCTTCACCTCCAAACAAAGCAGTCTCACCAGACTTTTTAATTAAAATCATATTCATAACAGCAGCAAGGAGTATGGTTTTTACAAAACATCTACAAAAAAATAAACACAAAAATTGGATCTGGGAACAAAATCGGAATTGAGCATCAAGGCCTGCAGTGTGAACGTAGCCTTAGATCGCGAGCTGCTGAAGTAATGTGATGATTAGCAATTGGTCGGCATTAGCCGGCAAGTTAATGTTATGTTAGTTTACTTGTCCAATAGAATGAAAGTTAACTCTGGGTGGGTTTTTATATCCACAGCAAAGAAGAGGTCTCTCCATGACTCAAATGCCTTTCCGATGTTGACTGTGTTTTTGCCTGATGTCGATCTGATTCTCGTTTGACCTGACAGGCTTCAGCACATAGACCTGTTGTTGTCTGTGTTGAGCTGGGAGCCTGTCGTTTTTTGATGTTAGCGGACTCCATTTTTTTGGCTGTGGTGTCGTCACTCTGTGTACAGTTCAGATTCAGTGGGTGGGAGGCCCGGGAGCGTGTGTGCGGCAAATTCAAACCTGATTACTTCACATAGAATAGTGGCTGTTCCAAGGGACCGAGAAAGCAGGTGTGTGGTTAATTTTTATGTGAGATTACAACCCGTTGACAAAAAAAGAGATTTCATTAAAAAACTACATAGAGCCCCTTTTAGGTTCTATACAGTATTTAGTAATGTATGTGTACTCACAGTTCGGTGGTGTATCCACTGACTGTGACAGTACTCTAGGCTTCCTCCAAGCTCCCGGGTCAGGTGGCCTTTATCCACATAGCCATGCAGGTCTGACAGAGAGTTCAGCATCACAACCTGCAAACACATTTAATATATTCAGTACATGGCTAAAAGTGCTTTTGATCATGACCGACATTATGTAATAACGAGTTCGGTAGAAAACTAGCCTTAATTAAATATCTTTTACACTGACTTTACACATCAAGTTCATTTTAGTCTGTGAAATGTTCTATAATATCTTCTGTGGGTGTAGACGGTGCGCTTCAAGCCTGAAAAAATTAACCATGATGATGCAATCACAGTTATCTCAGCTTGGATAACACATAAAAGAAAGCCTGAGATACAAACTGGGGCCATAGAGTTTCTTTAAAGACATTTATTGTGCAGGGAGGATCTTACAAGACACACTATTGACCTGCATTATAGGAAGTGTTTTTAGACCATCTCATTCTAGGGACTAAAAGTCAGAATATTTCATCATATTTCATTTCATCCTCTGATGCATCAAAGATGTGAAATACTAAATTACTGAGTATGTGTTTCAATTCAATAAATTTGAAATTCCAATGAGACAAAACACAACAAACATAAGTGTATGCTGTATAACTGTAATTAAATTTAACCTAACTCCTCTCTTCGAATACAGTCTGACAAAGAATCCAAAAGTTGTGATTCAGGGTGCAGCCTGATACTGCTTTATGTCCTGTTGGCCTTGGAAAAGGTTTTTGACCCGTTTAAAGTTTTTGGGATTTTTTTGATTCATTCCCAGAATGTAAAATGTACACTAGTTTGGTCTTCATTTATTGTCTTTTGTTCTCTTTCTTCTTCTCAAAACTTTCAGAATAGATCTGGGGTGCAAAGATGTGAGAGGGCATGCAAAAACAAAAGACAGAGACAGACAGAGTCGTGAGATGAGAAATGGTGTGTGATTTCTGTATCTATCTATTAATCATGCATTTAGTTAAAAACCTCATGTCTTTGATTAATCAACTTTCCCAGCAACTAACTAACTAATAACATATAATAACTAACTAACTAATAACATTTATGGTTTTTACTGAAGCATGCTTACCGGTACCTTCATTTTAAAGTCATCTTTGTGCAGCTTGAGCCCGATGTCTGCCATAGCCCTCTGGAAGAACCTGGACGGCCTCAGCACCAACACCAGCTGCAGGTTTCCTGGAAACGCCCCCTAGATAACACAACATGTGAATTACAATATATCTCTAAGCCACCACATTATTTCATTCATCACACACACACACACACACACACATATATGACCTGGGACTCACTGAACCAGCCATGGTCTTGTAACTTCTTTTTATTTTTTTTAAATACAAAGAAAATATGTATCTCACCATAGTAACTAATTTATGGTATGTAATTATGACTGCATGCTTGTTGGTATAGGAACCTGGCCTTAGACATTGCAAAACAGCAGAAATATGCAGATACCGATGTTAGACCCGATAAATACTACATTGCAGCATAATGCAGCACAATTAAAAGGAGTATGATATCTACTGCCTACCATTATCTGTGCATCCAGAGCTAACATCAGGTCTAAACTGCCCAGCTGGATGACAGAAAGTACACTGAAACAATTTCCAAATTATTTCCCACAGTTTTCTAAACCTGTATGGGCTAAATATTATTTTTAGAAAATTCTGCTACATATTATTCCCGTGATGTTTTCTCTATGCTTATGAAATACTATAAAGTTTTACCTGTTAAGACCTCAAAAAAGTTCTTCTTGTGATATAAACTAGGGAATAAAAGGGACAGTCATTCTTGTAACCTGTTATGAGGGATCCCAAGTGTGACTGGCAAGGAGAGGATCTTTGTTCCAAAACATAGAAACCCAGACTGTGTAAATGATTATGCATCTCTTTGCTCTGGGCCAGACGTTAGTGACTGTCCTAGGAGGCAGAACCTCTGGACCAGCTGATTTGTGTACTTCTCTGTTTAATCTCTTTTATTAATAAATTCTTCAAAAGACAATGGTTTGTTGTAACTCAACTATTTGCTCAATCCCTCACCAGGAATACCACAATTTTCCACAAGTAGTAGACATGGCTTTGTAATAAGAGTGAATATTCAAAAACATTTGAAAACCACACCTTTAATTTACCATAGGCTGCCCTCTAGGGGAAACAACTACATGTTACAACACTTACCTTTTGCATATGGCATTTGCTATATGTTCAATTCCATGTGCCATCAGTGTAAAATGGGCTCATAAACATCTGGGCACCCCAAATTAAGTACATTTAACCTGCATCTGCAGATTTAAACTTATCTACCGATATAGTTAGTTATGAGTTTGATGGTACCCATGAGGTATGAAGGAGAAACACTGTACAAATTACCCACTTATAATAGGAGAAAGAGTACAAAAGATTATTGAATTTATGACTTATCATAAAGCTTGTTCCACCTTAACATTAGTGGTGCAAATGTAGGATAAATGTGGTCATATAGAGCATATTCATTTTTTAACACAGGGTCTCAGATGAAAAGAAATGCTTTTTAACATCCAAGTGCACATAGAAGATGCAGGAATATTGTTTATGTAGCTTCAACTGCAGGATTAAATATGCATTTTGTCTGCAAATGGTGGTTTGCGTGGTTGCTTGGTTGGAGCTTGTTTGCAATATCAGATAAAAATAGCTTTACTCTAAGTTTGTACATACTGTACTTTGTGTGTATTTATAAGGTGATTTGATCAAATGTGTCTTAGAGAACTTACAGCGATCCTGGATAGAGAGGCCTTTACGGAGCTCCATTTGTCCTTTCGCCGGTCGATGATGATAACAAAGCCGATACTGGCAGCATCCAGGCTGGAGACAGGAGGCAGAGAAGACATGTAACTGGACAGCTGCTTTGTGCATGTGTGTGTCTGGTGTACAGCTCTTGAACATGCAGAGCTCATCCATTTGAGTAAATTACTGTACATGAAAACCTGTTCGGTGTGATTCTGTAATACTGGAGTGTCTGATTAAATGGAGCTCTTGCACATAGTGTTTTGCTGATGTCCAGTGCAAAAAGTGAGGCAGCCTTTTGGGTAACGGCTGACTTGAAGTGTAAGAGTCAGAGTGTGTGAGGATAGCCACAATAATAGCAAACTCGTTTGTGTATGAGAGTGTGTGTGTACCTGGGGATGCTGGTCAGGTAAGTAACAACATTGAGGAAGTCTTCCTCTGGCACTTCGCTGAAGCCTGAGTACTCTGGGAAGGTGATAATGGGGGCGCCATCTTTCCCTCGCCCTCCTGCAACAGAAAAACACTTTCTTTCTAAGCATGCGCTCGTGCATGGGTTCAAACTAATGAGTGAGCACTTGGAGTCGTTCAAGACAGAGACCAACACACTGGAGACGTCATCACACGAATGGGCCTTCCACTGTGGTGTCCTGCACCGTTATTGCATCATTTCATATTATGTGACTGATGAGAACAATTGAAAACATGCAATTTACACTGAACATGGGAACATGTGCTGATGCCTGGCTAAGTAGATTGGATAAATATTCTGACAGACAAAAGATTTAGTGTAAAATAGAGACTGCATTTTACACCCCAGAGCATGCAGCAGTAACTCAGATATTTCAGAATTAACTCCAGCAAAAAATATCTCTTTACACTCAGCACAGTCTCTCACAGACATTAGTGCTTGATGACAGTGGAAAGTAGGAAGTAGGCATAATGTTCTGCTAAGGAGTGGCAAACAGAGGGGCTCTCTGTGGGCATTGTTGTTGAGGGTGCTCTCGCTGTCTTTGCTTGAGGGAGGTGGGCTGCTGGTTACACACACACACACATGCACATACATTAACTGCCTCTCTGTCTCCCTCTGCTGGGAGTACACAATCACATACACACACTCCTCCCTTTCTTCTCTCAAACCACTGCTACTAACTTAGTGTTTCATTTCCTTTGAACGTTTTACAGTGTCATTTCTTTTTTAGTAATGTCCTGTATGTTTAAAGAGGGTTGAAAGTGCCAGATCACAACGGAGATTGCGAGATTGGATTCCTTTTTAATAAACAATTAAGGAAAAAAAATATTACATCACTTTTGCTCTGAAACCTGAACCATTTCAATTGATTTAATCTTGCTTTGTTGTTATTGTAAGGAAAAAATATTACATCATTATTTTGCTCAGTGGTCACTGACTTTGGTACAGGTGATCGTGGGTTCGTTTCCCGGTCAGGGCAGGGGTATCCAGGTTGACCATTAGGCAAGGTCCTTAATGCTACTGGCCAACCTCATGCATGAGTAAAACCACAAATACAAGACGTCAGACGTCGCCCGGGTCCACAAGGTCCGCGTTACCAGGGCAACCTGATGACAAATGGGCTACTGGAACAAGACATTCATGGACTAGAGCAGAAAATATGGATCTGATGCAGTGCTACTATACAAGCAATCCCGGTGAGAGGTGTTATATGCAGAGACTGTGGGATATATGGATGCTTCGAAACCCATCATCAACACTGACAAAGAAACAACTGCTAGCTCAGTGTTCTAACATCCGCAAATGGCAGCTCCTATCACAACTAGATATTGATGAGGTACAACAAATATGCTACGGCAAGGGGGAGCCAGGACGACAGATCAGCAGGGAGATGTCATCATTATCCCCACACTCAGAGATTGGGTCCCAAGCCCCAGTAACAACAAGCCCTTACGGCACAGAATCACTCAACATAAGGGCGACTGACCTACGATTGAAGATCATAACTAAGCTGGACCCCCAAGTACAACGATCAAGATTGCCAAGGCTAAGTGACAAAGTACCCTCTGAAAGTCTGCTAGAAGATGTGAATGCAGCACTACATACTATCCCTACTAAAGCCATAAATGAGACCAATGAGCTCATGTACGCCACAGCAACAGTGGTCCTAGAGATGCTTGGCTATAAGATGAACACCACAAGCCACAAAGAGCATTACCCCCCATGGAGGAGAAGGCTAGAGGCCAAGATCAAGGCAACACGAAGAGAGGTTAGTCAGCTCTCAGAGCTACAGAAAGGTGCAAAGAAGGGGCTACCTAAGAAATACCACAAGCTGTCGATACCTGAGGCTCTGGAGACTGCCAAACAAAGACTCAGCGCTCGGCTACCCGCCTAAAGAGATACACGGGAGAAGCAGAAGCCAGGAGAATAAACCGGATGTTCTCCACTGAACCATCCAAAGTGTACTCTCAATGAACTGGGTGGATCTAATAACACAAGATCAGATCCACCCAGGGCTGAGACTGAACAGTACTGGAAGAACGTATGTGTGAAAGAGGCATCCCACAACACCGATGCTCAGTGGCTAGAGGATCTAAGAACAGATCACAGCAATCTCCCAGAACAAGATCCAGTAACCATTACAATGACATCCAAGAAAGAGTGGCAGGTATGAAGAGCTGGACAGCACCAGGCCCTGACATGATCCACCTACTGGCTGAAGAAACTAACTGCACTCCATGAAAGCCTGGCAGCACAAATGAACCAACTGCTGATGGATGGGACCCACCCAGAATGGTTAACCCAAGGACGGACAGTCCTGATTATGAAGGATCCCCAGAAGGGAACAATCCCATCCAACTACCAGCCAATTACTTGCCAACTACCGGCCAATAACCTGCCTCTGCACAACATGGAAGCTGTCAGCACCAGCTACTGGTTGATAGAGCAGTCATTCGAGACTGCAAGACCAGGCAGACCAATCTGTGCACAGCCTGGATTGACTACAAGAAAGCCTACGACTCAATGCCACATACATGGATACTGGAATGCTTGGAAATGTGCAAGTTCAACAGGACACTAATAGCCTTCATCAAGAACTCAATGGGGCTGTGGAAAACAAGTCTGGAAGCCAACTCAAAGCCAACTGCACAAGTCACCATCAAGTGCGGCATAAACCAAGGTGAAAAACAAGATCTGAGCCATCAGATACCCCGCTGGTATAATAAACTGGCAAAAGGAGGAGATAGAGGCCACTGACATCAAGACAAGAAAGATCCTCACATATCCAGCACCCTGAGACTGTACACCAAGCGTAGGGAGGCAGAGGGCTAGTGAGTGTCAAGACCACTGTCCAGGATGAAACGACAAAGATCCAGAAGTACATCAGGAAGATGGCCCCCAAAGATGAAGGGCTTAGTGAATACCTTAGGCAGCATAAACCCGAGGGTGAGGAAGATGAAGAACCTTCATGGAGGGACAAGCCGCTGCACGGCATGTACCGCAGACAAAGAAATCCTACCAGTGGCTGGAAAAGGCTGGACTAAAGGACAACACAGAAGCACTAATCATGGCGGCACAAGAACAGGCACTCAGTACAAGATCAATAGAGGCTGGGGTCTACCACACCAGGCAGGACCCCAGGTGCAGACTGTGCAAGGATGTGTCTGAGACAGTACAGCACATAACAGCGGGGTGTAAGATGAAGGCAGGAGGGTGTACATGGAACGCCAAAACCAGGTGGCTGGCTTAGTGTACAGGAACATCTACCATGAGTATGGGCTGGAAGTCTCAAGGTCAAAATGGAAGACACCTCCTAAGGTAGTTGAGAATGACTGAGCTAAGATCCTGTGGGACTTCAAGATCCAGACTGACAAACTGGTGATGGCTAACCAACCAGACATCGTGTTGATTGACAAACAGCAAAAGAAGGCTGCAGTGATAGATGTGGCAATCCCAAGCGACAGCAACATCAAGAAGAAGGAATACGAGAAGCTTGAGAAATACCAACGGCTGAAAGAGTAGCTAGCAAAGATGTGGAAAGTAAGAGCAACAGTGGTGCCAGTGGTAATCGGAGCACTGGGGGCTGTGACCATCAGAGGTCTCTGTCCAGAAGAGTGCAGTCCTAGGAACAGCTAAGATACTGTGTGTACCCTCAAACTCCCAGGCCTCTGGTAGAGGACCAGAGCTTGAGGATGACATATACCACACGGCAAGGGGTGAGAGGGGGATTTTTTATATATATATGTCTAATGAATTAAATAAAACCGTAACAGTGTGTGTGTGAGTGGGTGTATATAGGGGTAAGTAATAGGGGAGTTTCTGTGTGTCTGATATAAATTCGAATTCGGGGGATATATTTGGGTGTTTATCTTTTAATGTTTTATATTTAGGACATGAGGTTAGAAAATCACTTTCACTGTTTCTCTGCCTGACTGAGATAAATCCATGCAGTCATCTGATTTGTATTCGCTGCCACTCCACTGCCACTGTAATGAAGCACAGTGTGAGAAAAGAAAATAATAGAACAACAACTGCTACAGGCTTTAACAAATGCTGTGCCTCTCTACAGCGACATTTGTGCCAAGGCCAAGGCCGGCGAGTGGGGATAAGAGTCAAGCCAACCCGGGTCGGACCTGAGTCTTGTGCACTTCCCAGCCTACATCTGGCTAATGTATGGTGGCAGGAAAATAAAATGGATGAAATAAGACTAACTCAGAAACGGGAAATCAGAGACTGCTGAGACCTGGTCATACCACAACATACCAGAACAAGCTGTTAAACTTGACAGGCGGAGCGTGTTCTGCACAGACAGAACTCAGGAGGCGGGCTGTGTGTTTACAATAATGATGTTGGTGCTCAAATGCAGTCAAAGTGGATGGACAATGTTTACCATATGTGGAATTTTTATTGTTAAGATGGGAAGCAGTACCATTCCTGGCAGCTACAAAGCCCTCCGTCATCCTTGTTTATTTAACTAAAATAAAAGTAAGTAAGTAAGTAAGTAAAATAAGTCAACACAATCTCCACATGAAACTGATCAGCAAACTTAGCACTCTGGGTTTAAATACAACACTCTGCAGCTGGATACTGGACTTCCTCACAGACAGAACCCAGATAGTGGATAGACACCCCAGGGCTGTGTGCTCAGCCTCCTCTTGTTCACTCTGTACACCCACGAATGCATCCCCCGACATGGAGAGAACTGTTTTGTTAAGTTTACTGATGAAACCACCATCATTGGCCGGATTTCAAACAAAGATGAGACTTCTTGCCTGGAGGAAATCCACAGTCTTGGTGATTGCAGAGTGGTGCTCAGAGAATAACCTACTGCTCAACGCCAGGAGCTGATTCATCATTGATTTTAGGAAAAAGTAGGTGAAGATTAACACTCCTGTCTATATCAGTGGAGCTGAGGTGGAGCATGTGAACAGTTTTAGGTTTCTGGGAAACAGCATCACAGAGAACCTGACATAGTCATCTCACATCTCCACACTGGGGGTTCTGTCTTTCTCTATCTCTATTTTCATTGTTCCATGCAAGGACATCACTTTGTGTTGAAAAGTGTTGGGGACGTTTAGGGGCTCATATTAGGGGTGTGACAAAACACTTAGTCCACGAGACATGATAATGCCCAATATTGGAGTCACGAAAAGAAGACAACAAGGTACCCCCAATGCTATTTAGAAGAAATATTCATTGATGAAATAGGCCATGCGATTGGGGGGTCCTCGCACAGAAGATTTTGAGCATTAAACCCCTAATTTTCCTGCATTCTGGAGACATTTTCTGCACTAGTTTATGGTGGAAATGTCTTTATTTATATGAAGGGAAACAAAAATCATGTGGCCAGCGACAATTTAGAATATAAATATTATCAATTATACTGCAATCATCAGCAGCTTTTTTTTTTAACCTAAGTTACTTTTTTTTGGACAAGGCAGATTTCTTTCTAGAGTTGCAAAGAAGAGGGGAAAGTATTAACTATTAACACATCCAGATGCAGACAGCAAGAGAAGTGGAAAATCTCTTTACACTGAACAAGAAGGCAAGCAAGAGAACAGAGACATAGGTACATAAGGTGACATGGGCTCCTACAAGTGCCAAAAAGCTAGAAAAAGAATTAACACAGAAAAGGGGGCCAAGACTTAAGATTCTGCCCACACAGATGCCAGCAAAAACAACCAGACATTCAGGGCATCATTTCACTCCCAAAGAAGAGTCATATGACAGAAGTAGTGAACAGCGCTCAGTGTATCTGGGATCTGAAAAAGATATATCAATAACACACGCAGGCTCATGTCAGCAGACTCCATGATAAAATATCACTGGGAGCAATGGATCGAAAGTCAGTTGGGAAAAACATGTGACTCCCACCACCTTTGCACTACACCCTCAAATTTAAGGCACAACAGATGACCAGACAGGCATATCAGATAAAAGCTGAAGACGTCTACATTGGACCACAAGAAGCAGACCCTCCTTCAGACCTCCCTCCAAAGCCACTTCCCCAAAACACAGTTTCATACAGAGTGAGTGCACCAAATCAAGTAAGCCGTGCTTTCAGCCTCAGATACGGGATTTGTTTGTGTGTGTCAGAACATTTAATGTTTTGTTTGCTGTTAAGATGTATGTAGATAATTTCAACAAATATAACAAATTCACTTTTCTGCTCCAGATGAAATTTTTTCAACTCAAGTCAAGTATTGCTTTCTTGCAAAAACACGAGGTGCTGCAGCCGTCAAATGCTTACTGCCTACATAACCACCACTTTGGCTACTATATAACAACATGAAATACCGTTTGATGTACCACACAATAGAGTCCTCACTTTACCCGTAAATTTGTGAAACTCAAAATTATATCATTTGCCTTTGCCAATTTGCATGTTACGTCTTGTTTCGCACTAATAACTTGCTATTATGATGGAAGTTTGGCTTTTGATGTTTCCCAGCCCTCCATTTAAATGAATAGGCACACAACCTCTACATTGGAAACTAAAGGTGGGGACATCAGGACAGTGGTACAGCAGAGGCTTGTTACATACATACCTGAGAGCAAGGCAAACTGGAGATGAAGCTGCTCTATGATGTCTACAGCCAGCAGGGGCCTGATATCCTGCTGCATGATCTCATCTGTAAGGAGAGCAAAAGGTCATTACAATCAAAAGGATTCATGATCAGCACAGCAAAAATGATGGTGGTGTGATGACTGATGCTCTTTCACCAATCGCTTTGGAGGTGGGAACAAGAAGACGTCATCCGCCTGTGCTTGAGCCAGAAAAACAATGACAAAAACTGCAACAGACACGAATGATATTGTTGTAAGTTGACTCACAGAAATTACAATTCTCAAAACCGACGTATCTCTCTGACCGTACTGAAGACAAATCTTACTTCACATTGCTTCATTTCAGCGTCACGGCAGATCCTCTGTCCGATCCTCCCTTTTGAACACAGTGTTTTGTGCATTTTCTTCCTCCGTTTAGTTTGTTCTTAAAAGTGAATTTCCACATCTGTTATTACATGTATCACTGGGTTCTTCTGTTCTGCTGTTATTTTTGTTGATTTCATTGTTGGAATTTCATGACACTTTGAGGAATGGGCCTCTCCACTGTGTTTGGACATTGTCAAAATTCCACTGATTGTCTAAATTGGTGTTATGATGTCTTTAGTGCTGAAACATTAATGTTTGTGTTCACATCAATGATATTAAGTGAAGGTCCACTTACTATCTTATATAAGTATAATGATAAAGCTAAATCCCCCTGCCAAGAAAGTGGAAACTGGAAAAAGTAAGTAGCCCTTTGAATCAAGATTTTTTTTCCAAAGTCAAAAATGTTCAATTTTAGATCTTGATCTATGACATAAGACCCAGTGAATATCATTTAAATATCTTTTTGCACCGGTTAGCTCACATGGTAGAGCACACTCTCCATGTACAAAGACTGAGTCCTTATCACAGCAGCCCTGGCTCGAGTCTGTAGCCCTTTGCTGCATGCCATCCCTTCTCTCTCTCCCACATTTCCTGTCCCTCTTCAGCTATCCTATTCAAAAAAAGGGCAAAAAGCCCCGCAAAATATCTTTGAAAACAAAACGGCAATTCAGTCTTATTTCCCAGCCTCAGATGATGGTCAGAGTCAATAACTGGTCAACAATACCATCCTCATGCCTCACCTCTACCTTAACAGATACTGTGATGAACGCAGAACTCAGAATGTCAGATTTATATTTTTCTTTTCCTGACTGAAGGAAGAAACCATTTTCATCTTATGGAAATGGTTTGTAAGTTTAAAATTAAAATTGCTGAGCTTTAGAGTCACATGATTTATGAGCTGTTTTATACCTGATTTAGAAAATATTCTTTGATCATATCCGCACATCATGTAGACTATTCTGTAACTATCCATTTCTGACTGGGGTTCATATGTGATATATAGCCTATGGGAAACTAGAACAAAGCATTCTCAGACATGGCTATAAGTCAGTCTGTGTGTGTGTATCCATGCATTACACCCTACCCTGCTCTGGTTTAATGATTATTGTGGCTGCAGCCTGAAGCTCTAAGCTCAGTGCACAATGAACAAACCTTTCTCTGTCACTGAGAATAAAGACATTCTTTAATCCGGACTGTACTTTATTACTCTAAAACATGCTTGGCTAGGTTGCGTACTGGTGGAGGTGGGGACAAACAGGAGAAGGAGAGCACAATCACTGCTAGTGAGACCGGCCTTTAATGTCAATATAAACGTTCCTCTGTTCTTAGTATCTGAGTCTGCTGACCTACCAAGGATATTAAAAACACTGCTTCTATTGCTGTGTGTTCCACTCTGAAATCCTTGGTAGATTGTAATTTATGACCAATCAGTCGCACAGATCAGTGCCTTTCTTTCTCACTGCGCCTGCGCGAACTGCTAACGGCATCTGAAAGTGTTATGGCAACACAATGCTAGCCAAGTTAACAATCTCTACAGTTAAACGTAGCTAGCTTAAGTCTAATTCTCTCTGCAAAACGGAGAAGCCACGTCTTCCTAGCCATCTAGTCTAGACACACCAACAGTTCTTTTTTTCAGAAGTTTTGGCACACAGGATAGCACAGACGATTAAAGCAGCACGTTTCTGTTTTGTAAGTATTATTGCCAGCAAACAAACTTCTACCTGCTTTTGAGCTTTCAAACAAATCTTTGTTGATTATTGTCAGTAGCCAGAAAGGTCTGCTGGGGCCGATGGGCTGTTTTATGCATGTACATAGTGAGTTTTCAGGTAGTGTGCTTAGGCTTAATGACCGACAATTTGTACAGTATGAGTTGAAATGTGGACCATTTCTAAAATCATACAGTGTATGCCCAGCTATATTTATGCTGCAATAGGTATAGATTGCCCCCATGGACCTGCTCCACGGCCGCTACTAGTAGTTCTATTTTATTATTATCATTATTATTGCTAGGTTCTCTTCAAGGTTTCTACCTGTTAAAAGGGAGTTCTCCTTGTCACATGTGTTTGCTCATGGTGAGAATTATTGGATCTCTGTTAATAATATTACAGTAGGATCTAGACCTGCTTTATATGAAAAGTGCAATGAGATAACTTCTCAAACGTCACTTGTGAATTTGTGATATTTAAATAAAACTGAATTGGATGTCAATTCACTATTTAGGCTTATGTAAACACAGATAATAAAATCAATTTAAAGTACAAAACCTGAAAAGGGAACACATGGATAAAAAATGTTTGTACTACAACAGTTTGAGTTGTATGTTTTATTTATTTAGTATCCATCTGGACCAATCAGCATAATTTTGATAATCAGTAAAATGTGTTTTTAGAAATTGTCTAGATTGAGGTGCTATTTATTTGTTAAGCACTGTTCCCTATTGTCAAGTATGCAAGGCGCAAGCTTCATGAGAATCATGAGGTAAAACTGGACAATCTGTCCTGTACAATCAGTCAAGCTGCAGAATATAAGAACCTGGTGGCAAATTATAAATACATTTTTAAGGATAAAGAAAATTGGGAAAAACCTGCTCAATACAGGGTATCTATCTATCTAAGAGGGATGGGGCAGAGGATCTAGGAAATGTTGTAGCTGTAACAGCAGGGTTATGAAACCAGAGCCAGGCATTTAAGCTGTGGTGCAGACAGACGTAATGTATGAAACACCCTGTTCTTAGAAACTGCCAGAGGACTGAAGCTGCAAGAAACGCTCATATAAGCAGATGTCAGGTTGTTTACATAGACGGTTAAAACACTAATGGAAACAGTGGGATGATTTTCTTGAGACTTTAAGTTAAGTTAAGGGATGATTTGAGAAAGTAACTGTGTCAAGGTTTCTGTAGATGTTTTGGACAACTACAATTAGCTTCAACCTAGTTAGCTGTTATTTGTTTCTATGTTGGGAAGCTACTCCTGTTCAGTCTAACCACAACTATGGTCCCATGAGGAAAGCTGGAAAGCCTCTTGAAAGGCCTGGACAGTGTGACAAACGGAGTTCATACTTAGCAGACTCTCTGCTGACTGATCTTTCTGAAGCACTTATTCATCTACGTGTAGGTGAATAAAAACTGATGGTTTTATGACTTGTGTACTTTATTTTTCTGCCCTGTGTAATATGGATTTTAAAACAGTGCTTTAAAAATAAAGATTATTGTATTAATATTAATCTGTACGTTCTCTCATAGAATTCAGAGTGAAATTAGCGCTTTGTAAACAACTATCCCAGTATTCCTGGGAATTACATTCATACTGGATCAATCCATGCCACACATTCAGCACATAAAATAATATGTCATTGCTCTAATGTGGATAATATACGTATTAAATAGTGATCATGAACTGTAAACAGTGTATAAAAGTGATCATACCGTTTTGTGGACTTAATTGTGACGAGCTCAATTGCCCCTGAAGAATAAGTTGCAGTCACTTCAGATTACGATTTTGCCTTCCAACAATTATGAAAACAAGATAATCAAGATAAAACAATTATTGTTCCTCATTCTGTTTCAAGAATTTAGTTTTAAAAATTCAATAAATGCTAATAATAATTGTCATGTGTTTAGCCATAATCAAGCAGCCCTACTGTTAATACTCGTCATCCACAGATCTAAGTTTCCAGATCATCAATGAAACACAATCGATACACACTACATACAGTTTCAACCCATCTGTCAGCCGCTGACTAACTGTTGTCAAAATGTCAGGGCAGGACGGCGTTCCACCTAAAAATCTAAACCAAATACCAATTAAACTAACCCCTTTTTATGTAGCCATAAAAACACCCATATTTTGAAACTTAAATCTTGGCAGGTATGGGCATGGCCTAAACATAACAGTGTGAAGACTAAACTGAAAATCAGCCATTTCAGAGTAAAGGAAATACTTTTTAAACTACATCACCTAACCAGCAGACTAATGGAAAACACTGATAAAATGGAGAAACGATGACACCATGCAGACAGAGAGAAGCATGGCTGGCAATGTGTGTGTGTGTGTATGTGTGTGTGCGCGCGTGTGTGTCTGTGTGTGCATGCACATTACCTATAACATGTTTGATACTCTTCATCTTAACACATTCCAGGCTCGAACACATACACAGGCATAAATGCAAATCCCTCCAGAGAAAGCAGTAATCTCATGGTATCCAAAGCCAGTAAGACAAGACAACATCCAGCCGCAACTCCAGTCTGTCCACAGCAGCTGCTTCTTCATCACCATCATGATCCTTATCATCAACTTATCCTGTTCCAGACATCCAGACCAACATTTATCAAGATTTCTCTCCCTTTTCTCTGTTTTCACACACACACACACACACACATACAGACTGGTAGTAGTTTTTCCAGCTCCAGCTGTGGTGAAACAGCTCTGCTCCTTTGCTCTTCAACTCTGCTCTGCGCAGCAAACTAGAAGTCAGAGTGGGAGGGCAGACAGAGTCTGTGTGTGTATGTGAAAAGAAAGAGATGAAGGTAGAGGGAAGGAGAGAGAGAGAAATACAGAATGGGGCAGTGCGGCAGTCAGTGTGTGTGTGTGTGTGTGTGTTTTATTATTGCAGGCTAGATGTTACGCTGACCACATTCTCTGTGCGGTGTTGTGTGTATATGTCTGTAGAGTCCTTGTAGCAGTCCATATGTGGTTCCAAA